GCGCTTTTCGGCTGGGAATCGCGGTGGTATGAGTCCGGCCCACACTCGGACCCAGGAGCCCTGCCGCTCCCGGAGAACTCGCTGCCTGGGCGCAAGGCCAAGGCTTCTTAACATTACTAATTTTATTAGTCTTCATACACTTTTCATTCTAGGTAAATTCACACGTCTGTGGGTGGCTTCCTGTTTTGTGAATTATCCTTTAAGAAGAATAGTGTTGTAAGTAGTGGGAATATAATTTGGGAGCAAACGATTCTTTTGAGTGACTTTCAAGTTCCTCGGTTCATATAAGTAATTGGAAATTGTGAGGATGCGCAATGCGGCCAATAAACAGAAACACTGCCCAATGGTTCCTGCAGTCCAGTGGTGGGTGCTATTGCCCAGGAGGTCGTCAGCCCCCAGCATGGGAGGTGCACAGGCACAGGGCTCATGGGCCTCTCAGGTCAGGGAGACTGTTCAGAGGTTCCGACCTGGACTGAGGAGCAAAGAGGGCTGCACTAGTCTAGGCAGCTTCTGGGGTTCCCCTCATTGAATACACATGACTAAAATTTATACAGTCCATACTGAATGATGGTTCAAAGCTTTCATATTCAATTGGGAGACAACGTACAAGGGGTGGGGGCCATATTTTTCCCTCTTTAAGTGAAAGTTATAGATTTAATATAAGATCACAGTAAAAAGTCTTACATTTCTACTTTTTGAATCTAGGCCAAGATTGAGATTTGATTTTGAAATATGAAAGTAAACTGTAACTACCACAATTTAAGTCTCTAAGATTTATATTTATATATAACCTTTTAAAGTTCTTCCAACTTGCACCCTGGAGAAGAGAAGAAATTACTGTCTTCTTACTTACGGCCTGAAGTCTAGAGAGACACTCGTTCTGGGTTAATGGCAAACTGACCCTGCCCTTGCCTGGGTCTGCAGCAGCTCCCACTCCTCTGACGGATGTGAACCCTCACACCCAGGGGCAGAGTTGTAAGTCTCGTGTGTTAAATTGAGTGCTTCTGTGGTCCCAGCTCAATTGAAAATCACTTTAAAAAATGTTTCTTCGTAGTATTTTTAAGAGCACTATTTGTTTTTAAACACCGTCCTTTCACAGTCTACAGCAGCTTCTTAATTTTATTATTGCTCATGGCAAAGCCGTTTCAATTCTCCAAAAACAACTTTTCAGTGTTTCTCCGTTTGTGTCCTTGCCACTGAAGCTGGTGTGTGACCTTATTTCTCTGAACACCTCCGGTGGCTCCAACCAACCTGCCCACTCGCTGCCTCAAGTGACAAATGTAGAGTCAGATCAGAAGCGCAGAACAGCAGTGTTTGGAAGGGCCACACATTTCACTCCTCCTCTTTCCCAGGGATGGGCTAAGGGAGGGTCACAAAGCAAGTAGGAGGATTAGTAAACTAGGACACTAGTTTTTGACCCCTCGGTTAGTGTTTTCACCCCTGCTCCAGCCAGCGAATGGAGGTTGGTCGAGGCAGGAATCCTGAAAGGTTGTAGAGAGCTGTCATTTGGGTGTGCTCGTCTTTTCTGGCTTCTCTACCTGCCTCTAGTAGTTGCTGAGGTTTAATAACCTGGCAGGACTTTGTAACTCTAAAGTCTGTACAGAAACTGTTCATTTTTATTTCTCTTGGCTATGGTTAGCAACTAGAGAACAGCCAGAATCAAAATATTATAAGTGAATTTAACATTCTTGAATTCACTCGCTCTTTGGCCATTTTCTGAGAACTTGCCAAATGCCCTCACACCATGAAATCCCCACACAAACACAATGCCTACCTTCAAACAGGGCCAGCCTATGACAAAGGAGAGATGTAACTAATTATAACACTGGTGTGAGACTTGCTACAGTAGAAACACAGGGCCTATGGGGAAAAGACAAAAACCAACATGGGAGTTTGGAGGAGGCATGAGGAGAACTGGTAGAAGAGAAGATTCCTGAGATGAGTGAGATCTAAGAAGCCTGATTTCCTTCTAAAATACTGTCATAGCTTGGTTTCCCAGTAGCAGCACATGAGGCAAGGTTCTAATAATTTATCTGGGAGATGATCCAAGGAAACTCCAGCAGGGAATTTTGGAATATGACAGGAAAGCCCAGGGAGATGTACAGACTGTGTTAATGGTATTGACGCTGTGGGTGACTGGGGCTCTGTCCCACTGAAGGCCTCTGTGAGATGACCTAGTACAAGTGTCCTCATTTTCTCACTTGAGGGCAAGGAACCAGCTGCGCTTATCACCAACTTTTGTTCACCATTGGTTCAGGGCTACACCAAAGTACATCAACTCCCAGCACTTCCCTCAGTAGAGAGTTGCAAAGGCTTCCAACAGGAAGTCACAGCAAACAGGTTGGGGGCACCTAGGGGATGGGGCAAGGCGCAGACTACAGCCCTGCTCCAGTGGTTGAATGCAAATTCTCCTCTGGCCCTCCTCAGCCAATCTCACAGCTCTGCCTTAGAGGAATGAAACTAAAACATGACATATAAGGGGAAATTAAATATATAGGGCTGGTATCTGCAAGTGCATAGGCAGTATCCTTATTTTGTGGGAACCCTGTTACATACTTTTATACCTTACCACTTTCATACACCCAGCTCCTCTGCTTTGTATGACTTCTAAGAAACTCTCATCCATACTCCAAAGTCCAGCTCAAATATTCTCTTTTCTGGTATCTCCTTTCCTGATTCTCCCAGCAGAATTAGCTTTTCCTGATCATTGTGCTGATGACAAGTTATGCTAGCTCCACAATAACATTACTGTGCAGTGTCGTGCCTTCTGTGTGTTCATCTTACCTGTAACGTCAATAGTACGAGTAGCTAATGTTCATTAAAGTAATATGCCAGGCACTGTTTTAAATATTTTATTTGTATTAACTCATTTAATCCTCATAACATCCCTAAGAAATAACTGCAGTTACCATCTCCACTTTGTGGCTCAGAAAACGAGGGCTGAGAATCATCTTTCCCAATGTCATGTATTTAGCAAATGACAGAGGTAGAATTTGGTTCCTAGAGTTTAGCCTTAAAACCCTGTCCTTAACTCCTGCGTAGAACTTTCCTTGACTGGTATGGAAAGGGAGGTCCAAGGCCTAAACCCTGAGGATATTTCCCAGAGTTATTTCTAGCAGTAGGGCCTTGTGCCAAGCCAGAAAACATCATCTGTAGAGAATCTGAAATATAAGATTTGTATTTTAGAAAAATCACTCTTGCTATTGTGCATAGGTTGAACTGGAAAAGGAGAGACTGGGGTAGAGATCAGAGTCAAGGGACTGCTATGATGATCAGGTAAGAGGTAGAAGCCCAAACTTAGGAAAGAAGCTCCTCCCTGAGCCAGCACCTGCCTGCCTCGCAGCCACCACACCAGCCATTTCTCCTCGCACCTGGCTCGGTCTCACACACCTGGCGGGGAGAATCGGGGCTGCAATGAGCCGAGCTCGGCCCTACCGTGAGAAGCCGGGTGTGCTGTGGAGAAAGAGTTCTTTTGCTCACTGGCATGAAGGAGCCATAAGAATGATCAGTGGCCCAGCCATGTGTACCGGCCATCTGGATATTTTAAACTATTTTCATTCCTGGTTTTGCTGTCATTTTTCCACCTCCATTTTGGATATTTGGTTTTCTTTGATGAGGATGCTCCTCTTTCCCTCCTTCTCTTTTATTTATTCATACAATATACTTTTTAAACGCTCATCATGTGCCAGGTATCTTTCTAGGTGATGGGAATTCAGTGGGGAACTCTCAGTCTAGGGGAGGAGATACACATACATGAAGAAGTTATATGAACACTTGTCTGTCCCCTGACACATGTGTGGGATGTAGTCAGGTGGCCATGTGTGTATTGTCCTCTATTCTAGGACACAGGAGACCATGGTGATAGTGACTGAGACAGTATGGTTTCTCCTGGAATATAAATTTTGAGCTGAGATGTGAGGAGCAAGCAGAAATTAACCAGGCATGGAGTGTAGGGAAGGGGTAGACATTTTCCCCACAGTACTACTGCATTGAACAGGGTGCTGTGAAACTTGGGTCCAATGGATCAGTCTGGAGCCCAGCAGAAGCTCAGCATAATAAAGACAGGGAGGAAGTAGAAGTGAGTGTAATTGCAGAAAGGGAAGATGCTCAGATGCTGCAGGAAGTTGGGGCTGGAGACTGAGTCAGAGGCCTGTGAGGAATTCTTGCACCTAGCAGTCCTCGATGGCATGTTTAAGTGAGGATGGTCACCATTCACTTAAATGGTGTTTCTGTTGTTTGAAACTCTTCCTCTTCCAAACTTCATTATCATCTGTTGCCCACAAATGACTTGTGCTAATGGTTTGGAGGGGAAAAGTCAGTTCTCTGTAGAGGTCAATGGGGAACAAAGGAGCAAGCATACAACTAAGATGAGACTTGGGTTGAAAGGCCAATGGTAACAAAACTCTGGAGGCAGCAGCAGTGGGAGGTATTCATAGGCTGAGCTGCATCCACACCCCAAAAAATAAAATTTTATTTGCATCCAGTTAGGATTACAGATTAGCATAAAACGATGGTCAAAGGCAGCATTAAAGAGGATCAGAGAAGAGTAGCGGCAGCCCAGGCAGAGAGCTGGGAGGTGGGAATGCCATTGTCCTCTGGGTCTGCCAGGGGGCCAGGGATATGGTCACAGTCTAGACATAGGTGTTTCTTCTCCACCTTCCAAAGACTCCTCAGCAGGTGACTCTCCAGGTCTGCCCTGCAAGTCACAGCACAAAGGACACCAGGACACTGAAGAATTTATTCACTCAACAAGCATTTATTGGTACCTATTATTTTGGGGAACAAAGTCAAGTTGGACATAGTTGGTGCCTGTCCCTTGGAGGATACCATCTGGGGGAGACAACTTCACTGATGGTGTGACCAGTGCCTTGATAGATGCTGGTCTATGGGGCTGTGGGAGCAAGAGTGGTACCCCAACCTAGTTTGGAACATTGGGCAGCTTCCTGGCAGTGTATACTTATATTCCTGGGTAGCAGAGGCTTGGAAGGCAAAGGAAGTGGCAAAGAGCCCCATGATGTGGCTCCGAAGCTGCCCTTGCTTCCCTGCAGGGCTGACTCTTAAGGCCTTGATTCCTCTTGCTGTCAACAAGTCACAGCTCTCCAGCTGGACTCTTAAGTTCCTCAAGGCCATGGAGACTCGGTGCAGGTTTGGGTTTGAAGGTAGGAAGAAGCAAGATTTGAGTAGTGCCCATGAGCATTCCTTGCCCAAAAACTCCCTGCCCTAAATACCATCTGCCGTCATACTTCAATTCCACCCTCGGCCCCTCAGTATTTTTGGTCTGACAGCACTGACTGTACAGCGACCACTGGCAATGTAAGGCTGTCCTTGGTAGATTCGTGCTACAGATAGATTGCCGGGGTTAAAAATCAGAGAAAGAGAGGTAGGGTAGCTAGAGTGGGGAAAGAGGAAGGGGGATATGGAGGGAAAAGGTGTACTTGAAATTTTACAAAATTTTCCTGTTCTTTTTCTTGTATCCTCCATTTTTCTAACCTCACGATACATGTATAGTAAGGATTTCTGCATGAACCCAAGAAGAGGGAGGAAACTGTCTTTGAGGTAGGAATAAAGGCAGTGCGGTGGAACGGGAGCTGGAGTTGGGAGACCCAGCATGAGCACTGCTCTGTGGCCTTGGGCAGACCTAGCACTCTCTCTGGGCCTTGTGTTCTCACTCACAGCGTGTGTCAGATTAAATGCCCCTTAGGACCTCTTCCACGCTCAGCCTCTGTGGTCTCCAGTTTGGAGCAGGGTAGGAAGAGAGCCTGTCTCTGTGCCTGGCTTGAGCTGTGTTTCGCTTCTCTTGGCTGAAACCCAAATCAGCCAAGTGGAGTCACGCAAAGTAGCCCCAGAGGAAGATGTTGATAGCCAGCAAGAGGATGGCGTTGATGTTGCAAATGCTTCTCCAGAGCGGTTCTTCCTCGATGCTGGTCAGCTTCTCCTCCAGAGTGGCCTTCTCTGCTGCGCTCAGGACCTGTCCTGGGGCTCCAGAGAGCCCACAGAGCCATCCCCAGAGCAGCTTTCCCCAGGACCTGCAGGAGGCTGGGGCTACAGAGCCAGAAGCATAAGAGAAGCAGGAAGAGGGAGAGGGAGGAAGAGGTGAGGAAAGGAAAGGGATGAGAGATCGGGAGGGAGATGGTGAGAAACCGAAAGGGAGGGCAGTGGGAGGGGCACTTTGCACAAACCACAGGCCCAGCAGAGCTCTGGCCTTGGCCTCAGCATCTGAACGGTTACCTCACGGGGCGTGTCCTTGTGGGGTGGGGTGTCGAGAGAGAGGATAATGTCATTCCTCTCAATTCAGACCCTATGTCCAGAATGAGAACAGAGGGAAGGAACATTTCTCCCTTGCCCTCTGTGAGGCTGGGCACTGCTCTGGAGGCCAGGAACGTGTCTCCAGGGCCAGCTCTGCCCTCAGCTGACTGTCAGCCCGTCTGTAAACTTCACCAGTCCTCTGAGGAACATGTTCTTTCTCCCTCACATGTTTCAGTGACACATGCCCTGTTCTCAGGTTGTTCCGAGCACCAAATGAGAGCGGAGATTTGACAACGCTTCACCAGTTTCCAGTGTGGGGATAAAGAGGGGAGGCGCTGGTGAGTGTAGTGTCATGTGGGGTACATGAGGCTGAAGGGCTCCCCAGTGTGCAGAGAGCGCCCACAGGGAGACAAAAGGCAGTGCTGTTCATAAAATTAAGTTTAAAAGAAGCAGTAAAGGAAGTAAGTCTTTTTAAGGATTTTAAAGTTAGTGTATTAAGAATGAAAGTAACATAAAGCACTTTCTATGGAGATGGAAGCAATGTGTGGGAACAGGTGCTTTGTCTGCGTAGCTTTGGGACATGGTACCTGGTGAGTTCAGGGCAGACTCCGAGTTTCCAAGATGCAGGAAGCCCGGGCACCCTGAGGCTGAACTTCCTCCTCACTGCGGAGGATGTGAATGGCTCACAAAACAGGGGAGAGCTGTTTCAGGTCACTCAGCTGCACAGCTGCCCTGAGAGCTGCATCATGTGAGGTGTGTGCTGGGATTTATCCTCTTATAAGGAGGTCCAAACCTCCTCCCTCGATTCGCACAGTGGCCCTTTGTGGTACAATGAGCCCACATCACCAAGTAGGTACGAATCAGGATGCAACAACTCAATAAATCTGAACCTAAGACTGAAGATGTACATATTTCTCTCAGATCTGTTCACTGTCCTTTAAATTTTTTAAGATTCAAAATTAGACTGATGACCTACATCAACCTGCAGGCCTCTGGGGATGGGTGCATTTTCCAAGTTCCTGGTGTTCACGTCGTTGGGCGGTGGGAAGAGACTTCTCACACAGCAGGCAGCCTTCCCTGCCCTTTGCCCTCCGCATTGTGGGTTGTGTAGAAGGGGACCTGGGGGTGTGGATTTCTCTCTTTGGGCTTTGTTGCTGACTCAGTGCCTCCTTTTCCTTCCTTGGGAGTGTGCACCTACAGGGAGCAGTCACCCTTCTCTGCTCCTGTAGGCATGGCTCTGGCCTGGAGGGGGGCCAGCGAGGGAGCGCGCTTGTCTTGCATGTCTTTGTAAGTCTGTCTAGCTCCAGCTTCCAAGGTGGGCAGTACAAGCTGTTTCCTCCTCTTTGCCTCTGGGAGACATGGTGAAGGCATTCTTCCCTCTCCTGTTACCTCTGCGCCTGTACCGAGCTCAGGCTCACAGGCTGCTCTTTCCATCCCACAAGCTTTTGACGCGGCCAGGGCCTGGTCCTTGCAGTGGTGGGGGAAAATAGCTTTCAGACTTCCCCCACCCACACACATCTGGCGCATGGACCAGGAAGCTTACCAAAGAGACAAGGGCTACATTTTGCCAGGGAAAATATGCTTGAACTACTTGGAGCACTGACAAGACTGGGGCAGGTAGCTGATCATAGGTGGGGCTTTCAAAAGTTAGACCACCTATGTCTTGACCACGCAAGTTTGTGAGAGTTCGCACTTGCTGTTCACAGCTTTTTGTAGTGGACCACTGACTCTTAACTGCTGGGGCTTGGGCAAGAAGCTTTGAGCCTTAGACCCTGGTGAGGTTTTGGAGTTGAGGATATCATTAACTCCAGGCATGTGGATTCTCTCTAGAGTGAGTGCTCCCAAGAATGGCAGTAGCCTCTCCAGCCTCGGGGACAGCACAGATCCCAGAATCTAGCAAAGGCACCAGGACAGAGTGGCAGAGAGTTGCCAACCAGGCAGGTCCAGCAATGATGCTTTGATAATTCTGTCTGTCCACTTAACCCACTGGAACTATGGAAAGTCGGGCACTCCAGAGACCGGGATAGAGCTCAGACATTTCACCCAGTCTAATAGGAGGAAGCAGCTGTCAAGAGAACCCCAAGCCAGGCACTGAGACCCCCTCTAACTGAAGCAGGAAAGAAATTTAGATTTTAAATTTCATTGAATTTCTAATTTATAAGGATAAGATAGATTGATTTTGGGCTTTAACCTGCAAAGTGTGTGTAATTTTTTGGATCTTAAAATTCTCCTTGGGAATCTTACAATTGAAAAATCTCTATGATGCTGTTCTATCTTCAGAATGCCTTAATATTATTGTTTAATCTCCTTACCGGAAGGTTATGGCTGCATTATGTCCAAAATACACCTGACAGCATAGTGATTTAGTTAATGTGCTATCCTAACGCATTTCAGACCTGCTGGGAGATGCCGTGTACACGGCCACCAGTGTTTCAAGTGGACACACAGAGAAGCAGGGGTTGTGCTGGACGACCTCATGAAGGCAGGCACGCAGAATGGACGCATGGCTGCCCTCTTCCCACGGGGAACAGCCATGCTCTGTGAGGACAGGCAAGAGGCTTAAGCCCAATGGGAAAGAAACAAATAAGTAAGTGGTGGTGGGGATGAGGGTGTTTCCGTGCCATGCTGACGTTTTCTTCCATGTGAAGGGAACTCCATAGGTGCACTGCTCGTCTCAGCCCTGCCCGTGCTCACAGGAGGTCAGCTATGCCCTTGCTCAGATCTGCTGGTGGCTAGATGGGCACCTCTGTCTAATGTTAGCTGATATGAAATGAAACTTCCCACTTACATTTTATCAGCAATGAGGGCAATAGTTTGGATCCCCTATGCCATACTCAGCTGTCTTAGTTCGCAAACATTTCAATAGTCATGTGGGAAAGGAGCAAAGGTGATATTTTGGGGGCTGCCTCAGAGGCCCCCATCTCCAGTGATCCCCAGGTGGGGTAGTGGCAGGCCCAGGACTTGGTGCCCACCCCTACTGCTCCTCTGTGGCCCTCAGCTTACCTCCGGGCTGCCCTGGGCCCGGGCTGCAGTTCGCTGCGGTGACTCCTGAGGGGTTCTCCCAGGCCGGCCCCTCAGACATCCCTGGCGCACTGTCTCTCTCACTCTGGCTCTCCCAGGCCTCCTTCTCCAGCTCAGAGGTGGGGCAGTTCCGTGTCCACCAGGTCAGGCGAATGAGCTTGAGGGGAGAAAAGACCACTTGGAACCAGTGCGTTTGGAGAAAGTCCTGCTGTAGAAAAAGGGCCCATGCATGGGAGTCTTTGGAGCCATAGCAAAAGGGTACAAAGAACAAGGCTGGGGCCGGGGGTCAGGAGCCATGTCTTGGCCCCTGGCTGCCCCTTTCTTCAAATGTGAGCCCTCCTGGAGCGCCTCCTGTCCATTGGCTGAATACAGACCTGGGCCCTGCCCTCGTGAAGCTCACGGACAGAGAGGAACAAGGCTGGACAGGGAGGCAGGTGCCGGATCACAACAGGCTCTGCAAGTTGGCGGGAGCAGTTGACACTTAGAAAACCCCAAACTCCTTCCAGATGAAGACACTGCAGACTTTAGACAAGGAGCAGGGAGTGTACATTCTGGGACTTCTGAAGATGTCTCTAGGCAAATGCAAGGGACCCAGGCTGGAGACTGTGGTAAAAGTGAGGAGGGAGCGGGGAAAGGGGTGGGAGGGAGCAGGCTTCAGGGATCTCAGGGAGGTAAAATGTCCAGGACACGGTGACTGACTGACTGAACTGGCCACTGGGCTGCCCCTGGCTTCCAGCGCGGATGATCAGCGGATGGTAATGTCCCTCCCAGGGACGGAGGGCACGGGACAGAAGTGGGTTCTGGTGCTCATCAAAGAGGCTGAGAGGAGGAAAGAGAGAACACGTGCACACAAATACAAGGTGACCACGGGCTTGACGAGTGTGTCGCACCTTCAAGTGGAGACATCCAATGAGGAGAAGCCAATCTGTGTCCCCCCTGCCCCCGACTCCTCCCTCTCTGGCGGCCCTGCAGGCTGAAGCACATGCATTCTCTGGCTGATATCAGTGGCGCTGGAGTCAGCTGTGGGCACCTGGACTCAAATATCTCCCTTCCCCAGGAGGCCTGGAATGGGGGCTCTTCCCCAGGTCAGGCCCTCGCAACAGGTTAAGCCAAGTATCCCCCGCCCTGTCCCAGCTTCCAGCTTGCGACTGTGTGTCCAAAGGGGCCTGGGAAGCTTCTTTGCTTGTACACAGCTCTCAATAAACCCTACTTGGTTCTCATGCTGTGTGTCATTACTGTCACACGGACCTTGACTCTTTGTGTCACTATAAGACAGATAGATTTGGGGTTTGAATCTCAGGAGAGGGATTGAGGCTGGAGATAGGGAACTGAGTGTCACTTTCTACAGAAAGTTGTTGAATTCATAGCCCCGAGGCATTGTAGGGTGGGAAGGGCTACGGGCCAGGTATGGGCTCCTAAGGAAAAATGCTATTTAAGGAGGCAGAAAGAAAAGCCTGCGCCATGTGAGGAGTGATTAGAAGAGTAGGAAAAGGCAAACAGGAAAATGTATCATAGGAGAGAGGTCTTTCAGGTCCTGGAATCAGCCAAGGAGACAGAGGCAGGGAAGTGACCACTGGTTTTCTTAGCAACCCCAAGTTATGAGTGACCTCAGTGAGGGTAATTCAGTGGCCTGCTGGGGACCTCAGCCTGGGTGCAGTGGGCTGTGAAGTAGACAAGTGGCGGGAAGCAGAGGCGGGGAACGAAGGCCGCACCTCACAAAGGCTTAGAGTTGATGGGAGAAGAGGGAGGCAGCAGCGGCCAGAGGACAGGACCGGGAGAAAGCTCCACATGGGGCGTGGGAAGGCAGAGAGAGGAGACCTTGAGGACTCGGCAGCAGGAGATCAGCTCTGAAGGCTGTGCCTGCAGGAGTTTGCAAACTTTAAGGCCTAGAAATTCACATATTGAAGCCTTAGCCCCTACGGCCCCAGGACACAACTGCAGACGGAGATGGAACCCTTCGAAGCATAAGGTGACATGGGGGGATGTGGGTGGGCACTGATCTGTCATCCCTGGTGTCCTTAAGAGCTTAGGTCACAGACAGACGCCGCAAAGACCATATGAAGACACAAAGGGAAGACACTCATTGACAAGCCCCTGAGAGGGGCTCCTGGACAAAGCAGGCCTGCCGATGCTTTGGATTCAGACTTTCAGCCTCCAGACGTGAGAGACAATAAATTTCTGTTGCTTAAGCCACAGCCTGTGGTCCTCAGTTATGTCAGCCCCAGAAAACTAACACAGACTCTAGGGAAAAAAAGACAAACAAACTTCACAAGACTGGGCTTCAGGGGCTGGGGATTTAGCTCAGTGGCACAGTGCCTGCCTGGCAGGTGCAAGGTCATGAGTTCGATTCCCGGTACCGGAGAAAAACCAAAAAACAAAACAAGGCTGGGTTTCAGCATTCAAAGACGAGTCCACAGTCTGCTGGAGACAGGCAAGGTTGAGCTCTTCATCTAGCACAATCTGTTTCTCCTCTTATGTACTTGCTTCTTGACCATTAAAAAGTGTCTACTTTTCTCTTCCATGGACCCAGGTGAAAAACACCTCCCTTCTGGGCCTGGCCCCTCCCCTTGAGCCTGGGCCCCCTGCACCTTCCCTTTGTATAGTAACACCGAGTGCTGGCATCTGCCCCCCCTCAAGGGCAGTTGCAGGCAGGGACCAGTCATCTTTGTAAGCCTAGCACAGTGCCTGGCATGCAGTGGGTACCCAGTGAGTAATTTTTGAATTGAATGAGTTTCTTTTCACTTGGAAATTCCTATCCCAAAGAGCTCCAGCTCTCAAGGATGTCTGTGGCAGCAGGAGACACCACCATTCATCAGGGTAAAGCCAGTGGGGGACTTGCAGGCCCTGAGCACGCTGGGTGGGGGGAGCTCACGAGAGCTCCACTTACCTTCTCCTCAGGGATGGGTGTTGTGCAGAGGCTGATGGTGACAATGACGATGGCAGTGAGCCCACAGAGAAGGAGAGCGAAGTACAGATAGTGGAAGTCCTTCAGCACGGCTGGCCTCCAGTCCGCCTCGCCACAGGCTGGGGCCGGGTATAAGAACTCCAGGATCATCCGCAGAAGGCCCACTCCCAGGCCAAACATGAGGCCCCAGAAGGCCCCCTGTGGAGAGAGGGTGACATGGGCAGGGGTGAGATTGGAGAGAGTGGATACCAGGAAGCTAAAAGCTGCTCTGCCCCCAAATCTCCCTCCACTGTTTTTTTTTTGTTGTTGTTGTTGTTGTTTTGAGACAGGGTCTCACTATGCAGTTCAAACTGGCCTTGAGCTCACTTTGTAGCCCAGACTGGTCTCAAACTCGCAACGATCCTCCTGCCTCAGCCTCCCAAGTGCTGGGATTACAGGCGTGCGCCACCATACCCGGCTTCCTCCACTGGTTTTTGACAGTGTTGGGCAAGTCCTTCTTGGTGAGTCTCCTGTTAAGGTGAGGCTTTGTCTTAACTTAAAAGGCGGTCAAAGCTGGGAATTGGAAAGGCTGTCGGCTTAGAGGTGGCCTGGGATTTGAATCTGACTCCATTCCAAATGACTCTGAACCAATGGCTTGGCCTTGCTGGGTCAGAATTTTTTTATGTTCAAGGAAAAGAGGAATTGATAAGTACTAAGTAATAGACGGTCTACATTCAGACAGAATGGGCTGTTTTCATAATAAGAACACCAGGATCCCCTTCAAAACTCTCAGTTATGATAAATCAGAAATCAGAATAGAGATTCCCTTTTAAAAAAATCTCTGGCACCTCACACTTATTATGGTTTCATTTGCCTCTAAACTGTACCCGTTCCCAGTATGTATAAGATGATCCGTATTTTGAAAATGAGATATTGATTCTGACTTCAGCACTCCAAAATGAGCAGAAACACCCAGGAGCAACTGAGTCCCACTGTCAGCAAGATTAGATTCTGCAAACAGTAGATGCCTCACATACTCAGGCTAGGTGGGTGTCTCTAAGATCTCCTTTGTGATGACCTTGAGCTCTCATATGGGTCTTGTGAACTTTCACATCAGTTCACGGTGTACTTTGATGTCCCAAGGTACAGCCAGCAGATTGGGGCTGTCTTCCCTGGTCTATCCTGAGGAATAAGGAAGTCTCAGGTCTTCTAGCTTCCTCCCAGACTTCTGTCGCTTTCAGTGCAGTTACCTGAACGGCGAGGGTGTGGGCGACCCCTATAAGCTAGCACTTCGCCATCCACGTTCTCATTCTGTTATTTGGCTTACGTATAGAACACTATAGTGTTAGGGGCCTCCAGTCTGCCTTGCATTTTCACAGAAATGCTCCTCCTGTCTGGAACACTCTCCTCCTCCCATTAACTCTCCAGGTCTCAACTTAGATGTCACTTCCTCCGGGAAAGCCTTCCCTGACCTCAATCTAGGAAACCCACAAGTTAGAATTTGTGCATTTCAATCTCCCAATAGCTATTGTGCTTTATTATTATTGGTTACTTAATCATCTCTCTTTTCTGAGGTCCAGCAACGGCAGACTTACGTGAACATTGTAAACCACTATATCCTTAGAACTGCCATAATCCGATTGCTCAGTGTTTTTTATGTGAATCAAAGAATCCGAACTGGACACTAGGTCAGGAGGATGGACTCCTAGAGCAGGCTGTGGATTTTCCCTCGTGGCCTAGAGACCCGGTGATTGACAGTACGACTCCAGAGGCTCAGCTGGGGGCGAGAGACAGGAAGGCTTCACTCACAGGCTCGGTGACTCTCCTGCAGAAGATGGCCAGCAGGAAGAGGGCGGTGATGGGCGGTGCCAGGTAGCTAGTGACCGACTGGATGTACTCGAAGAGCTGCCCACTGCTGGAGCTCTGGATGATGGGGATCCAGAGGATGCTGACGACCACCAGGAACACCACAAACACTCTGCGGGAGAGTACAGGGTGCTAGGGGTGTGTGCGAGAGGGCGTGGCCCAGGGTGTCCTGAAGGCGGTGCACCGGGACAAGGAAGGGACAAGAGGGGTCTCTGGGTCACAGGGCGAAAGCCATAATCCCAGATACTAAGGTGCAGAAGTTCCATGTCAGCATGCCAGAAATCAGAGTTTCAGAATCTGGGAAATTCAGAATTCTAAAACCTTGGTATTTGCATACTGGACTCCTTGGCATGCATGTCGTCCACCCCACCTGCCTGCAGTTGAAGTAATCCATAGCTTCACCCCACCCAACCTAGGAAACGGCCTTCGGCCTCTGCTTGTGAAGTATTTCCTCCCCGGGGCTCCAGGGCTTATGCAAGACACAGCTCCCTGGTGGTTCCAGCCCCCGGCGGGGTGGGGCGCGGGGGCGGGGGAGGACTTCTCCCCTCTGCAGCCTCCTTCAGCTCGGACCTTTCCTCCTTTACACCGGAACCGAGCTTAAAGTGTCATCTTTCCCTCCTGACTCCACTTAAACTGATCTTTACTCAGGCTTAAGTCACCAAAGCGCGCTGGAGGTGTGATTTTGTACATGAACAAATTAATTTAAAAAAAAAAAATTTTTTTCTTGGATATGCTGGCTGCAACAATGCATATGACCAGGAGATGGCGCCCGAAACCCAATGATGGATGATGCAAGCGGCAGCAAGCCTTTCCAACGTCTCTCTGCACATTTGTCCTTACCTCTTTTCTCCTATTTTCCCTCTCTCAGGCTCCCGGAGAGCAGCAGTGACCCACGTGGCCTCACTACTGCTCTCTCGCTTCTCTTATCCTACTCTCACGTCCTGGGAGCTCACTTCCTGTGCCTAGGGCTGGGCTGCAGAGATGAACAGGGAGTGAAGGCGCCCAAATGATATGAATGGCGTGTGCAGAAGCCGGGAGTCTTGAAGGGCAGACTAGCTGAGCTCAGCTCCTACCAGCCAAAGGGGGAGTGGATGCCCTTTGGGCTAGAGGCCTGGTTAGGGAGCCCTAAACTACCAAGCAGAGATTTCAGAAAGGCCCTCTCAGCCCTACACAAACTGTAAATCCCCAGCCTATGAAGAGCAGGACAAATTACTCGCCCGGTTATGATTTTGGACGTGTACCTGGTGCCCATAAGGTACGGTCCAAGTTCTATGCTCAAGGCTCTGCATCATTTGGAGACAGCTTTCCCAGGAAGTCTCCCCAGAGGCAGGCGCCGTGCTCATGCCCTGTAATACACTTGCTTCTGCCTTGCTCATCAGACTGTGAACCGCCCCGGCTCTCCGGTTCCCAGCACAAGTGTGTGGCCCGGGGTGCGCATCTGGATGAATCTGATGGACTGGACTGAACACTGCCGTTATCCTGGGGTAGCAGGAAGAGTTGACCCCAAGGGCCTCGGGGTGAGCCGCCGTTCCTCCCCCTCGCACTCTTCACCCCTCATTTTTCAAGTGCTTCATTGTCTCTCAACACCCCACTGATCCACTCTAAGGGGAAGTCCCAAGGCAGGCAAGAGCGCCTTCTCCCCACTACTCTGGAGGGGACGAGTGGTCCAGAGGCGGAAGGACCCAGCGGAGCGGAGGTCAGCCACTGCCCTGAGTGCAGCTGCAGACCCAGCCCCCGCCCCTCCCCCAGGGCAACCCAGGGCAGGGGAAAGCGAGGGGAGGCCCACTGTGGGAGACCAAGGCCTGGCGCACACCTGCCCACCACCATCAGCTCCTGCTCCGTGGCCCCCCTGCGGAAGCGCTGCCACACGTCGATAGCGAACAGGGTGCTGCTGCTGTTGAAGATGGAGGTGAGGGAGCTCATGAGCGCCGCCATGATCACCGCGATCATCAGGCCCCGCAGACCTGGAAAGAGATGCGGCGTGAGAGACAGCAGGTCCTTACAGACCAGCTCTGCCAGGGCCGGGAGGCTGCTGTAGAGCCGGGACTTGGGGCTGGGTTGCACCGGAAAAGGTTCCCTTCTAGCACAGACGAGGAATCAGAGGGCCTGGGAAGCTATAGGCCAGTTTCTGCCTCTCCCTTGCCTTGCGGCCTTGGACAGCTCATGACCCTGCCAGGGCCTTGGCTTCCTCATCTGCATCTTGAGGTGTGTGACACCGGGGGATCAGCGAGGGCCTGCACCTTTGACATTGCAGGCCGCCTTTCCTAGCAGTGGACCATTGGTGGAGTCCCGGGACTGAAGAGAGAGGCCGTGGCTAGTGTCTTTTTTTCCTGTATTTTGTGTTTTGTGCCTCCTTTTCCGTGCTTTGTACCACCACTTCGCGGTGTTGGGCTAACGTTCCAGCTTAGGACGCAGAAGCTTGGGGCTGCTTCCTGCCTGTGCCAGGAACCAGCTAACTGGATGATCTCTGGACGAATTCCTTACACTTTCTGGGCCTGTTTCTCCACCGGGACAATGGCGAATACAGCCCATCGCCCACCTGAAGTCTTTCTGGCCCTGATGATCGAGCTCATCCCTGGGGAGAGGACTTCCTGCCCTGGCCCCTCTTCTGCCTGTTTACCCCCAAATCCATGTATCTAACCATGTCCTGGGGGTCACTCTGGAAGCTTCACAGGTATCTTGGAAGCTTCACAGGTATCTTGGAAGCAAGGGTTCCACACATCGGTGCTCATCTGCCTATGAGCCTCTGCTTCCCTCTGGGTTAGTGACACCTTTCTGGCTCCCCCACACCCCTGCCTTGGCTCTCCTTACACCCCCATCCTTCACCCATCACCCTTCTGAGCTGTTCTGTCCTAGCTGGGCCTCCCCGCCCCCCATGCCTTTGATTTACTTCTCATTCTAGTCTCCCACGAGGAAGGACTAGGTCCACACATCCCTTGCCTTTTGTCTCCTCAATCTCGATAGTATTGTAGACGCACCTGCAAGACGAAGGCCTGGGAGCCCTCTTTGATTCATCTCCCCGCTGAAACACAGCAGCTCAAGTCCGGCTAATTCACCTTCACACACGTCTCTAATGCCTTTTCTCCATCTCTAAGGCCACCCCCTTAGTCAAGCCCCCTTCAGACTCCTCACTGATGCACCCCATCTTGCCTGAGCCTGTCCCCTTGCTCAGTCCTCCAGGAAGAGTTGTTCTTCTAAGGCACGAATCGGTCATCCTTGCCCTGGCCTCCCCTCCCTCCGTGCCCTCCATCGCTCCCAGAGCAAAGGCTCCATTCCAGGACGAGCGGGGCCATGGCAACCTCTCAGGAAAGTCATCATCATTGCTCCTTGCCCCTGATTCACACAGTGCTCCTTCCATTTAGCTCTCTCTCCTGGGTGTTTGCACACACGTCTTCTCCTTAGAGCAGCATTTCCTATGCCCGCCAGCTCTGTCTAAAGTGCTCCTTGGGTCCCTGCTCTGTTTCCTTCCTCTGCTTCTCCCTTACCCCCAGGTCATCTTGTACTGTGCCCTTGCAGAGCCCAGGAACCCTGGAGACTGCATAAAGCCTGAAAGCTGGGACCTGCCTCTTACTTGCACATCTCCAACACCAGGCACAAACAGGCACCTCACAAATGCTTGGGAAAGTGCAGTTGCGCATGTGTGTGTACTGGGCAGGGGAACAGAAATGAAACTGTCCCTTCCCTCTTCCCATCCATCCATCGCACAATCCCTCCTCGTCAGTGGGGGCTGGAGGGGCTGGCAGGTGGGCGTGGAGGGTGGAGTGGGCAAGACGGGACTCACCAATGGGCATGAGAGCCATGACCAGCTTGGGATAGGCGATGTTGGAACATCCCACTCGGGCCCCGCAGACTCTTTGGCAGACCTCAGGATCCACACAGCCCACCTCATCTGCAGAAGAGAAGAGGGCAGTTGGAGCTGCGTGATCCTGTGCCTCCCCAGGATGGCCCAGTATTTGCTTTCTGGCACTGCAGGAAAATGCTCACTGGACACTCTGACCTCGTCTAGAAGGTGAAGGGGCAAGTAGTGTTGGGTCTTTGGTGAATTCCTTGTTCCTAATGCATACTATTCTGCAACATGGGATAGATTCCTTTGGGTTTTATGACTTCCATCTTGATAAAGACAAATATTCTTAGAAGGAGCTGAGAATGCATTTTTTTTTCTTTTTTAAAGAAGATGCAGAATTTTAAAATAACATTGAGGTACAAATTTATTCTTCTGAAATACTTATGTGCTTGGCCTTCAAATTCTAAACTGCTTACAATAAGATCTTGATAGAAAAACTTGCTGCCCTTCCACGGTCCACTTTGCCCAGGAACACCTTCTCTGGAAACCCCTCCTGAGTCCTGAGTCCCCAGGTCCAGAAAGAAGGCTCACTCTCACCTGGGTACAGGGCCCTGCTGATCATGCCAGGCATGACAATGAAGAACATGGGGAGGATTTTCAGGTAGCCCCCCAGCACCGAGCCTCCCTTGGCATGGGACAGACTCTTGGCAGACAGAGACCTCTGCACGATGACCTGGAATGGCGACAGCAATGGAGCGATGTTGATCAGGGGCCAAAGGAGGGGCTCAGCTCAGCCGCAGGTGAGCCCTGACCCTAGTCTCTGACTGTGTCCCCACTTCGGTGTCAGAAGGCAGTTCAACCTTCTACGCATTCAAATGCCTGCTTTGTCTGCAGGAAGCCATCCCATTTCCTGGTGGATGAGGCCAAGCCCGGTTGGGACCTCACCTGGTCTGTGCACCAACACCAGGTGGCCAGTACTGTGAGCCCGAAAATGAGCCCAGGCCAAGGGATGTCCCCGCTCACAGGATCACGAAGCATGTGGAAGGCATCCGGCCGTGGGAGGTGACACGTGGTATTGGGGACCGTGACATTAGGGAGGGCCTGCCTATACAGCTGCTGCAAGCCTGGGTACCAGCCCACCTTCTGAAAGCCTGTGGGAAGAAATGCAGTGAGAGAACATCCTTGGGGCGCACCCAGCCTACACTCCCAGCCCGACATGGGCTGTAGGTTGGAACCCACCTGATGGTTGGGAATGGGGAGGGAGACGGGGCTGAGGCTCAAGACCTTTGGTCTGGAGGAGAGAGAATTCTGTGTTTTGGGAGCCCTGACTTGGAGGTAGAGAATAACTCTTTGATCTGGAAAGATCCAGGTAAGCCATGGAGGTGTCAAAAATAGATCAGAGGAAGAATTTAGGGGTGAGGGTGAGTGTACTTAGGTCTCTTCCTTACCTAGAAACATGAGGACCAGGGCTCCCCCTACCATGATCACCGTCTGCAGAGCATCTGTGTAGATCACGGCCATGAGGCCCCCTGGGGACCCAAGGAGAGGGCACATCAATCAGTACCAGCAGGGGTTCTGCTCCGGGTGCCCGCCCGTGTCTGGCCACACCGAGGAGACCAGAGAAGACACAGTGACCTTTTAGCAGTGGGCTCTGGTTGCCTGCGTTTCCCCACAACTAGCACTTCCCTCCACCCCACGCAGGAGGACAGAGCCTGGTCACACTTCTGCGTATTCCTGTGGCTCTTTGTGTCTCTGACATCTTGCCACGGCCATCATGCATGGCTTTTTGTTGTTGTCATCAGTGACTCAAGTCCCATCCTTTGCTTGTGCTCTTACCTCCACCAGGCATGCTCTCTCTTTTCCCTCCCAATCTCTGTCTATCCAAATGCCCCAGCTTTCAAGACCAACTTAATCTCAGTAAGTCTGTCTGTCCTGTGTTGGTGACTCAAGGTGCCCAGCCCTGTGCGAGACATTTTGGAGGAAACATGAGCGGATGTGTCTGTGGCATTTGCTGGGGCTGCTCAGCATCACTCTGGCACAGACAACAGCTTCCCACTCTGTCCTGAGGCTGCTGGTGTTTTCCGGTGCCTCTTCGTGTCTCTCCTATCTGGTCTTGCTCTGGTTCAGTTTCCCCATTTCTGTCTCCTTCATCTCCTTCTTCCTATCCCACTGTCTGTTCCTCTGCTTTTCTATTATCCTGTGTCATCATCTTGGCCCTTTTTGACTCTGTTTCTCTCTCTCTCTCTCTCTCTCTCTCTCTCTCTCTCTCTCTCTCTCTCTCTGTCTCCCTCCCTTTCTCTAGACTGATCTTTATCCCTCTCTCAGGCTGTCTCTCTCCTTCAGTCATTCTCTCTGTCTCTGCCCGTCAGAAGCCTCCTTCTGCAGCTCTTGCTCAGCCTCGGCCCTACCTGTGATGGTGTAGACAGCTGTCACCACCAGCAGGATCACCGTGGAGAGGTAGAGGTTCCAGCCCAAAGCCATCTGGATGAAGAGGGCTCCAGAGAAGATGTCAGTCTGCAGAGAGACAGGATCCATTCGCACTTTTTAGCTACCACTTAATGAACGGTTACTAATGAAGAGCCAACTAATACAAAGATGAATGAAAGAATGAACTCTAGCTTGTGAGGGTTTTTTTAATAAGAGCTGTCATGCACTTAAAACATTTATCATACTTCTTTGCTTGTCCCAGTGCTGAAGGGGAGCATACATGGAAAGTGTGTGGATGCAGCCTTCTTTTCTTTTATCCTTCCTTCTATCTGTCCAGCCAGACTTCTTTCCTCTTCTCATCCTCCTTTCTTCCTTTGCTTCTTTTTCCTTCCCTCCCTTCCTTCCATCTTCCCATCCATCCTTCCATCCATCTTCCCATCCGTCCATCCATCCAACCATCCATCCATCCATCCAACCAACCATTCATCCATCCATCCTTCCATCCATCCATCCACCCATCCATCCATCCATCCATTCATACATCCTCCCATCCACCCTCCCATCCATTTTTCCATCCATCCATCCATCCATCCATCCATCCATCCTTCTATCCATCCACCCACCATTCCTCCCATCCATCCATTCATCCTTCCATCCATCCATCCATCCATCCATCCATCCATCCACCCAAACTGTGAATGTGAGCTTCCCGCCAGCCTCAAGCCCACAGCAATGCAGAGACAAGCGGGTCACCTTGGAGTGACGCTCACCGATATCTTGGTGAAGATGTAGAGGATGAGAGACAGGACAGACATGTACACCTGGATTCTTTGGCCCCCAAATCGCTTCCTTAGATACTGTGGCATAGTGACCACACCAGCTGCGATGTACACAGGAACAAAGATCCAGCCGAGGGCCACAAGCAGGAAGGTTGCCTGGGAAAATAAGGAGAAGAAGGTACTGAGATTGTGAGCTACGTTGGAGGGAAGCCTCTACCCAGAGACAGTGTGTACTGTGTGAGATCCTTGAGCAGGGAAGTAAGGGACCCAGGACCCATCCCAATCCACCTCTTCCAGGGTTCACTTTCCTCATCCGTACAACGAGTTCCCATTCACCAGGCAGCCTCCCAAACTCCTCTAAGGGTTCTCTCAGCACTAAGGCTGGGAAAGGGGTGAGCTCAGACCCTCACTCTCCTGGCCAGCTACGGCAGCCCCCTTACGTTCCACTCGAAGCCGCCCACAGCAAGGCCCCCGGCAGCCCCTGTACCAGCCAGACCGATGAACAAGCCACTGCCCACATTGCTGGACATCAGAGATGCGCCAATCTGCAAGGCACAAGTAGGGTCAGAGGTCAGGGGCCAAGGTTAATCTGAATTGATCTGGGGTCAGGACCACTAGCATGGGAGACAGCATGGGGGCTCGCATTTATCTGGCACTGCACCAGGCACTTTACATGCCCTAATACATTTTATTCTCCACAAGGAGGGAGGAACACCAAATTTACAGAGGAAAGAACTAATGCTAGGATAAATGAAGCCACAAGCTCCAAGTCAGTGAGGAAGAGGCTGAATGGACCAGAAGGGAAGCCAGGGGCAGCAGTGTGGGTAGGCAGGACAGAGCTCTGCACAAGGCATCAACCTCAGGCCCTCCAGACAGAAGGACAGTGGCGAGACTGGGGAGCTTTCACAGGGAGCCCCCCATGCTCTGTTCCTGCAGTCTCCAGGACAAGGCTGGGCAGAGGAAGGGTCTAGAGGTTGAGCACAGGCCAGGCCAGCCTCTGAGTTCTTTATTTTTCTCCAGAAGGGAAGCCAACTCTTGTAAGGTGACGGAAGGGACGACAATGGTAATTATAATGACAATGATCACAGCAGGAAGTACTTACACAGCTTTGCCAAGCACTGCATATATAAGCTCGGTTAATCCTCATAATAACCTGAGAAAGCTAGGCACTGCTATTGCTGGGTTTGAGTAGTGGGAAATCACAGGTCATTGGGAGGTGCCCTTGAAGGGACTTATGGGACCCAGAATCTTCTTTTCTTTCTTTTACTCCCTAGCCATGAGATGAGTGGAAAGGTGGAAAGAAATTTTCTTGTACAAGATGATCATCTTAGGTATTTGTTACAGTAGCAAAAAGCTAACACAATTCTCCGCATATTACTTTTAAGCAACTGAGGTGTTGATAAGAAACTTTCTCAAGTGACCAACTGCAGATCACAGCCTTGGCTGTCTGGCTTGCATAACCACTTTGCAAAGGTGCTTGGCTCCCACTAAGCACTTACTCCGTGTTGTTGCTTATTATTAGACGGGATCCAGCCCTGGGAGGGGAGAGCGGGCAGGGCTGGGCTCTGGGGCAGGGGAGACCTCGGGGCAGGCCTGGGGTGGAGGAAAGAGCTAAGCTCGGTTTCGTACCCTGTGTCCCCTTGGTAGAATCATCTCCTGTCACAAAGCCTCACCCTCATCACCTAAAAGTCTGGGACTCCCTTCCTCCCATCTGCATGTTCTTCCGGGGTGCTGGAGGTGGCGGCAATAAGAAGGCAGGACTGAGGCACTCAGACAAGAGGCGACAGGGCAGGGCTAAGGCATGGAAGTGAGTGACCCCTCCTGGCTGAACCCCTTGTGCTGATCACACACACACACACACACACACACATACACACTCAAACCCACACACGTTCACGCATTCTCATGTATACACTCACATGCATTCCTATTCTTGCATGTGTACACTCACAGACATGTTCACACATACACACACATGTGCTCACACACGAAAACCCACACTTATACACATATGCTCACACACTCATGTACACTCACTCTCTCACACATGCACTTATAAGTATAACTTGCACTCATGTACCTACATTCCATATAGCTACATATGCTTACACACATACACTCACATAGTCATGCACATACACCTACATACATTTACATATACTCTTGCACACACATGCAAACATTCACATGCACTTACACACTCACTCTCTTGGGTGGCCTAAGGGTGCTGGCAGGGATGCGCTGAAGCCCTGGGCCAGACAGAGAGGGTCCCTGCTGCAGAAGAGAAAGCTGCCCTAGGAAGGCGGCCTGCTCACCTCACCCTGTCCAGGGCGCCCCTCTCCTAAGCCAGGAGACATGGACAGGGCAAGGCAAGAGGAGGAGAGGAGGAGGAGGAGGAGGAGCAGCCAGGCCTCCCTGAGCAGGGATGGCTGCTGTCCTGCTGACAGCCTTGCGGGGACTCTCCTTGGGGCACAGCCTCAGGACTGGAAGGACCCCAGGTGCGCCGCTCCAGTAGTGCTGAACTGAGCGTGGAGTCGATCTTCTCAGGCCTTTGTTACAGTAACAGAAACAAATTCGGCTGGGGCTGGGGCTGCACCCAGGCTGCTTCAGGCTGGATGGGGGTCAGGTGCAGGAGGCACAGCTCACGGCCGGGCACCCAAGGGTGGCAGCAGCACACTGCACTCAATGTGTGGGGCCGACAAGTCCCTGGGAGTCCTGTCAGGACATCTCCTGATGGAGGCCTGGCTTTCCTCATGCCCTCTGCAGGCCAGGAGTGCAGTCAGCAGGGCCTAGGCTTTCTCCTAAGCCAGACAGAACAGCCTACCCTAACCGGCTTCTCACCCTGTGTCTGCCTCAGTTCCAGAGCCGCTGGCTAAGCAGAACTCTTCCCCGGGTTTAGTTCTCCATGAGCGTGAGGTCACGAGCGTGTGTGAGAGTGGCGTGGTGACTGAGTGGGAGTATGTGGGTATGAGAGTAAGAGGTACGAGGGTGAGGGTGAGTGTGAGTGTGAGAGGGCATGTGTGAATGAGTGTGAGGAATGTATAAGAGTGCATGTGAGCGTGTACAAGGGTGTGATTGTGAGGGTGTGTGAGTCGGAGAGTACAGGAGTGTGCAAGTGTGTGTGAGTGTGGGCCTGTAGGAGTGTATGTGTCTGGGTGCCTCAGTGTGTGTGAGTGAGTGTGAGGCTGGCATGCCTGGTGTGCACACAGCTTCATTTCCCACTAGAACTGATGACTCCACCACTAGTTTTTCAGGCAGGGCCAACCTCCCTCCATCCCATGGAGGAGGAGGTTAGTTTTGAAGATCAGTAGAAATGTGGGGTGGTCAGAAGGGAGAGATGGGGGCTCACGAACACTTGGGGGATTGGTTTCATGAGCTGGCTGGGGACTGTGCTTCTGAATCTCCTCACTTGACTGCTTATGCAATGTCCCCTTCCCAAGGAAGTCTTTCTTACCTCAACACCCTTCCCCACTGCCCAGCGCAGGAGTATCCTTGAAGCCCTCAGGAGACCCCCAGGGTTTCCTCTAGCCCAGCTTTGATCATGTTGCTCATGAGTCTGTCTGTCCAGCTCAGTTCTGAGCTGCTCTAGGGGAGGGACACTCTAGATCTATTTCTGTAGGTTCAGAGCTGGCCTAGGACCCACACCCAAGATGTTCTAATGAGACTTATCGGCGCTGGGGATATAGCTCAGTGGCATAAGCGCCTGCCTGGCAAGTGCAAAGTCCGATCTGAGTTCGATCCCCGGTACCGTGAAAAAAAAAAAAAAAAAAAAAAAAGTAAAAGAGACTTATCAAGCTGTGTTAGCAGGACCTCTCGGGTGTGGGGTGGATCGGGGTGGGAGAGGAGTCTAAAATTGGGAACCCCAGTTGGAGGCTGGTGCCTTGGCCCAGACAAGCCAAGAGGACAGGGCGATGTGGTTGGGGGGGGGCACTCACCGGCCACCAGCTCATGGACCTGCCCGCCAAGAAATAGCCACCAACGGTCCCTCGGCTTGCACGGATTGATGCCTGGAAAGGAAGTGGCAAAAATATGGACTTCCCGAGATTTTGTCCAGTCTCCGCCCTCACCCCAGATTTCCTCTTCTTGGGTGGCAGGCACTGCGGGGGCACAAAGGGTAAGAACCGAGGCAGGGCAGAGCCGCTTGACTGCTTCACCATTTTTATATTACAGATCCTTGGGAGAGTTACTTCATCTCTGTGATTCTCAACATTCATTCAGGGCTGAGGTGAAGAGCAAAGAAAATAAGGATGCCCAAGGTCTTTGTGAATGGCAAAGTGCTGCTGTGCAAGGGTACCAGATGCCGCTAGCAGGTCCTTGTCCTTCCTTCCCCTGCGCCAGCTCTCAGGAGATGATGTGGTCTCCGCGCTTCAGGTGCATGGTGGCTTCCTCTCCTGAGCTGACCTCTCCCCTCCTCCCAGCCAGGTTCCCACACTGCAGACAGTGTCTGTTCTAACCAGTCTCACTACGGAACCGTGGGACCCCAGGGCCCTGGGCAGGATGAGTGTTGCTGTTCGGGGTCTCCACTTTGCCTGGTCTGATGTCAGACCACGCTACTGAGCTCTTGCCAGGACCTTGGAAGTAACCAGCAGTAGGTGGTCAGTTAGTGGCTTGTTAGGCTTATGCTCTAAAAAATGAAGGATTTGAGGAACACAAGAGATTTCTGGGGACATGGATGAGGGCTGGCCCTGGGCAGGGAAGGGGGAACTTGAAGAAGTAATCCTGGTGGGGAAGGCAATAGGTCTCTGCCTGGCTCTGAGATAGGAGAAATCCTTGAGTGTGAGGAAGGACAAAGAGAAAATAATTAGGGAGCGATAACTCCTGTAAGTCCTGGTGCTTGTTAAGTTTGTGCTTGAACTTTCCTGGCTCACCTCTGACCCTCTTGGAGGCCACAAGAGTAGCACAAACTCATTTCACAGATGAGGAAATTCCCTGAGGCAGAGGATACCTTGTCTAATTCACAGCAGAGTTGGCTTTTTTTTCCCCAGGGTACCTCTCAGAAGCTACCAAGCACCCATCTGCCCACTTCTTCCTCGAGAGTGCTGGGAGGCAGCGACTACTGCTTCTTCTGAGGGAAGGAGGAGGGCATCGAGGCTCAGAGAGGGTTCCTGAGCTCCCTGAGGCTCAGGAATCGGATTACAATCTGCCCTGCAGCAGTGTGAAGGTGCTGGCAGCTCTTCAGGGCACAGGTGATGATAGCAGCTGTTTATTGCCTGCCACCTATGTACCAGGCTCCAGGTGAGTGTTTATATGCGTCCTGTCCTTCCCACAGCTTCGGCCTAGTCTTCATGTCCATGAGAGAAAACTAGGACTCAGAGAGGAGACTGAGGGCTGGACTTGGGACCTAAGCTCAGCTCTCTGGGCCTGCCCACAGCTCCCTGGTTGGTGAACAATAAGAGCCGTGGGACCTTGGAATGTGCCCAGCACCCTTCCTCCCCTGAGAGTGCAGAGCCCTGGCTCCCTGGGTATGACACAAAGAAGACTGGGGGAAGGTCAAGGGTTTTTTTCCAAGTTGCGGGTCTTGAGTTGGGGAAGGAGGCAGCAGTGGGGCTCAGGGTGGCCAGCAATGGCTGAGACCAGAGGCAGCAGATGCAGGGATACAGGGGGTCAGGAGTGGGGGCTCCAGGCCTGGCCTGCCTCTGTTTTGCTTTTTGACCTCAGACAAGCTATAGCCTTCTCTGAGATTCAGTCTGCCCTTCTATGGAAAGAAGACAGAGGTGATTCCTGAAGACTTTTTCCTCTCAACTCCTTTAGTCGTGTGATCTGCTTTCCTTTTCTCACTCTTGCCCTTAGCTCGAGATGAGAGGTGCTTCTGCTTCCCCTGCTCTGCAGCCCTGGCCTCATGGCCCGCTCACCCAGATCCCCACGGCGATGACGAAGACAAAGTAGATGACCACCACCATGATGTCGTAGGTGTGCAGGCTAGCTTCGGAGCCCAGGGCTGAGCGCAGAGCCGTCTCCGTCGTCATCTCGTCCACAGAAGCTCCAGGCCCCTTTGCTGCCAGCTCCTTGCTATTGGTGTGGATTCCTAGCAGGCTGGACTTTGAGGTTCTCCTGGCTTCATTCCTTTCCTTTAATGATTAAACAGCCCCAAGTTCGGTGAGGCCTTGAGCGAGCTCAGAGCTCAGAGCCCTGCTGGCACACAGCACCGTCCTGCCCACTGTCTCCTCACCACCATCGAAGCAGCAGCAAGATTCCCTCCCACACGCAAGTGTCCTCACATATTGCTCTGCGCACGCGTGCACTCACCTGCACACAACATGCATGCACACATGTGCACTCACACACGCACATGCAACAGGTCTCTTTCCTACCTCAGAAGTGCAGGAGCAAGAGGAAGAACAGGAAGAGGAAAGAAGAAGACTGCTGGAACCTCAGAGCTGCAAAGGACTTTAGAAATCATGGTGTTCAAGCTCCTGCTGTATGGGAAGGAAACTGAGGTCCAGGGAAGTACAGGTGGAGCTGGGACTGGAGTTCAGGTTTCTTAATTAGCTGTTCAATGCAATTTTTTTTGGCCCGGTAAGGAGACAAAGAGGAAGGAAGAGAGTGCCAGTACCCTGGCTAAGCAGCCTCCACGCAGCATACTCCCACCCCTGACCTCCAGGTGTCATGTTCCCTTCCTACAGTGTAGGAAACCAAGGCCCAGAAAAAGACAGTTGTTTATTCCAAGGGAGAGGCAGGGCCATATGTGACAAGGTAGGGCCAGAGTTCACCTCTTCTGATGCCCAGTCCACACTTCCTTGCCTACTCTGTGACAGATGAAATGGATGTAGTCAAGAGGCCTTCAGGGAAAAGGACATTCCACGGGCCAAGGGAAAACCATCTTCTGTGGGTGTAGGCAGCCTAGCATCTATTCCTAGCTGCACTCCACACCAAAATGCAGAAGGCCTTGGGCAAACTGCTGAATGTCTCTAAGCTCAGGTGTCCTCATCAACGTCCTGCCTGCCTCACAGCACCAGTGAGGCTAAGATGGCTTCTGAGATCTTTGAAAACCCTCAGTTACTGCATGCTCTTGAGGTTAACACAGAGAAATCAACACCAACGCCATCTAGCCGAGGAGCCCACACACCCGGCACAAGGCCTGCTTCTTCACGTGGTCCTCCTGATACTGCTGCATTTGGGAGATTTCAGCCCTCTGACTGCCACTCTGCAGGCACCTCTGCCCATGTAGGCCAGGGCCTAGGCTGGAGGAATAAAGGGATCCTACTGACCCCTCACCTCCATCAACGGCATCCTATGAGAAGTCCACAGCCGGGTACACATCCCTTCCCTTTTTAGGTTAAGGGAAGTGAGGGGCAGAGTCCTGGACCTCCTCTTCTCTGTTTTCCTAGCCCAGAACACAAGTCCAGGCCAAGGAAGTAGGGCACTGATCTGAGAAGAAGATCAGGAGAGTCCCTGGCTGGAACAGGCCTCAGAAAGATCTTCCACTCATTAGCATTGGATGCCAGAAGATCAGAGAAGTAGCTCTGCAAAGGCAGTGTCCTTCACAGGTATTCAAAGAAGAATAAGAATTCATCAGATAAATGAGAGGGCCAGAGGCAACAGGGCCAGTGCTGGCCACATCAGAAAAAGTGCAGGACCAGGGGCCCGAGATAGCCAGTTTAACAGTCCCTGAGGGTGAGCTGTATAGCAGCTACTTCCATGTCGTTCTTGATGGTTCTGAGCTCAGGCCACTGAGAATGCCACAGCAAAGCATCCCAGGATCATTCTTTCAGAGTGGGTGGAGGACTGTTCCTGGGAGAGTCCTGCACTTCTTCCTCGGGAAGGACTCACTCGGTCCTGAGAATTCTGCTGTCTACACATCTTGTTTCCCAACTACTCTCTCTTAGATACCTGGGGCCACACCCCCACCCCTACGCATTTTGCCTAATTCTAAACCAGTAGGTTTGGGTGCACAGCAGACACTCTTGCAGTACATTTAAAATGCATGTGTCAGCTCACCAGAGGACTTAGCAACTCAGAGCCCTATAATGACAGAAGGTACATAAATGCTTTGAAATAGCCATGGTAGATATTCTGAATCCCATGCACAAGCCCAGGCCTCTGACCTTTGAGGGATCCCACAGGACCCTATACATGGATTGTTTACCTTTACTTTTCCCAGAGCTCTGTTATGTGTATCCCAACTCACAACTTAGAAAATAAAAATTTAACCAGAGGAGACAGGTAGGCAAGAGTGAGATCAAGATCACAGCTTATGGGCTGATGGTGTAGGATGTCATTAAAACCAAGGAAAGTAGGAAAGATAAGCAAAAGATGGCCTAACTGGGGCAAACAGACCTCTAACACAGGACAGATCAATTCAGCCTAGGGCAGTCTTGAATAGCAGCCAAGAATTCATGCACAGAGGCCACTCAGAGTCACCAAGGAACCAGGACTATAAAAGTGTGCATTTTCTGTTCAGAAAGCATAGATTATGAAATTCAGATATGAACAGTCTTATTCAAAATGGCTAAACACTTTAGGCAGTTGTTAGCATTGAAAAAATAGGCCTCATATAGCCAGAAAATCATCTTAGAGAATTGACAGTGAAGAGCGTACCCATGTTGTCATTTTTGCACTAAATGGCCATCTTCCAGGCACTGAGACAGGAGCACACGTGTAATTATTCACAACTTGGTGGACAAGACACATAGTCACACAGGACAGGTGCATTCGGCACAAAGCAGATCAACACTCACACACTCCTTTTCCCTCTTAGCTGGAGAGCTCAGAGGAAGGAGCAGCAAAGTCCTGTTGAGAATATTGGCAACACATTATAAAGGAGAGGAGTGGTTTGAACTATTACAGAAGTGTACTAGGGTGATAAAATGCAAGTTTCCATCAAGTCACCACCATATGACATGTACAACTAAAAAAAATAAAGGTAAGATTTCACATTTTCTGATTTCAAAACTTAATACAAAGCTGCAGTGATCAATACTCTATAATACTAGCATAAGACAACCTTATAAACCAACAGAATAGAATAGGGAACCTACAATTAAACCCTTTCACACACGGGGAAGTGATTTTTGACAAAGATGTTTGACAAAGATCATTCAGTGGGGAAAAGACAATCTTTTCAATAAATGGTGCTAGGAAAACTGGATTATACATACAAAAGAAAAGTTACACCTTTCTTTCCAATCATATACAAAAAGTAGCTCAAAATGGATAGAAGATCTAAGTGGAATAATAAGGTAAAATTCTTAGAGAAAACACAGGTAAAAATCTTCATGACATTGGATTTCTTAATAATGACACCAAAAACACAGCAATAAAAGAAACAATAGATAAATGGCACTTCATCAAAATTAAAGCCATCTGTGCATCAAAGGGCACTGTCAGTAGAAAGAAAAGGTAACCCAGAGAATGTATTTATAAGTCATGTATCTAAGAGGGGATTAGTATCCAGAATATATAAAAAATTCTGCTAAATCAGCTCAGGCAAATAAACAAGTGTATTCTAAAATGAGAAAAGGACTTGAATGGACAATTTTCCAAAGCAGTTACATGAATAGCCAGTGAGCACATGAAAAGATACTCAACATCACTAATCATAGGGAAGTAAAAATCAAAACCCCCAATGGAATACCACTTCACACCCAATAGGTTGGTTATCACTTTAAAAAAAAAAAAAAAGCTAAGAAGTTAATGTAGTTATGGAAAGGGGAGATTGGAACCCTTATGCATCACTGATCAGAGTATAAAATGGCGAAGGCACTACAGAAAACAGTATGGAAGTTTCTCAAAAGATTAAAAACAGGATTACTTTGCCCAGCTGTTCCCCTGGTGGGAATATGAGTATATACTCCCACAAAACTGAAAGCAGGGTCTTAAAGAGATATTTGTATTCTCATGTTTAAGGCAGCACTATTTATAATAGCCAAAAATTGGAAGTAACATGTATGCATTATTGAATGAATGAATAAACAAAATATATGCCTACAAAGGAATATTATTCAGCTTTAAAAAGAAAAGAGATTCTAATGTATGTTACAACATGGGTGGACCTGAAGGGGTTCTGCTAACTATAGCCACACAAAGACGATTTTTGTGTGACTGTACTTACATGAGTTACCAGAGTAATCAGAGTCACAGAGGTAGAAAGAAGAATAGCGGTTGCCGCGGGCTGGAGGAAGGAGAATTAGTGTGTTTAGTAGTTTCAGAGTTTCAGTTTGAGAAGATAAAGGGAGTTATGGAGACAGATGGTTGTGATTGTTGTGCAATATAATTAGTATCTGTAATTCCATTGAACCGTATCATCAAAAACAGTAAATTTTATATTATGTGAATTTCACTATAATAAAATATGTAGGAAAAGTATGCAAAATTACATAAAAATGCGGGGAAGTTCTGTAAAGCAAATACTAAGAACTGGATACAAAATATTTCTTTGAATAAGTGTTGTTTTCTCAATAAGAAGTGGAAGAATGCAGGACTACTTGCCCCTTCCCAAGTGCAGTTTCAGCTCCAGAAGATTCAGCAGGGAACTATGGTGAATGTGGTAATATCAGCTCAGCTGGGGCCACCATGGACCAGAGTCTGACTCAGTCTTGAGACATAAAAAAGAGCCTGTGGCTGACTGAGTGGAAGAGGAGATGGAGAAAGGTAAAAAGCTCACGTTGACCTCTTCACCAAGGCAGATGGGCACTGAAGCCAGCCCTTGCTGGGCACAGGACCTGCAGGGAGAAGTCTTGGCTTTGAATGCAGATTGAAGTATTGGATCATCTAAGGCATTTGCTATTATAATTTCTGAATCATAACTGAATTTAGACTGTGTTTTCAGACCTGATGTGAGAGTAGAATTTCTATGTCCTAATTTTATCTAGAAAACTCGGAGAACTCCTTGAACTTTAGGGGTAAAGGAAGTTGTAATCCATTGAATGAGTTGTTTAAGAAAATTACTTTCAGGATCACTGCTTGTACTTGGTTGATTCCACAGAGCTCACTGCACCTGGAACACCAGGTCTCTGTTTCTGGCATCTACAGCCTGGATACCCCTTAGGCAGTTTTCTGTGCCCTCACTGAAGATTCTTCAAACCAGAGTTCTTACAGACCTGGAGCCGATGAATCCCACCAGCCTTATAGCCTGTCCTCAGGGTCACCAACCACAATGCCAGCCCCCTTGGGGAACTCACGTCTCCCATCTTCCCACCCTCACAGTGCAGCGTCTGCCCTGCTCTCTTCCCCCGACCCATTCTCCAAGGCCTAGGAAAACGAGTGCCTCTCTCTCTCAAGCTCTCCAGTTCCCTCTGTCAGCTGGCACAGGGGCCACTGTCCTGTGGGCACCTTCTTCCATTGCAGCCCTTTCCCATGGAGGCTCTCTCTTCTCCCAGGCACCCCAGAGTTTGGGTCAGACCCTGCTTGTGCTTCCTTGCTGCTGAACTCTGTAAAGTGCCGTGCCCAGAAGTGCCACACTCCACTTTCACCTTCAGATCTTCGTGTGTGCTGCTTTCTTCACCATCCTCCATGCTCAGACGCTCTCCCCAGTTCCCAGTCTGAAACATCTACAACCCATGTGCTCCCCATTTATCTATGAATACGATTTAGGGCCTCTCTATCTTAGATATGAGCCCTGCAAAGCACTTTCTACCTCATCTGTCTGCATTCATGTACCCAGTGACTGAGACAAAGTCAGGGAGGGGAAGTGGATGCCTTTCCTTTTAGAAACTCCCTCTTGGGCAGCGTGGGGCATGGATGTGAATGAAGTGCCTGATGGTGCAACCACTGAGGCAGAGATGGGCACCGAGTGAGTGAGAGGGTGGAGGCGAGAGGGCCTCGCATGTTTTACTGAGATGGAAGCATGCTGACATAAGTCTTCCTTCTCAGGGGTACCCCTTGCCCCTCAGTGGTCCTCCCCCTTACTCAGCACCCAGTGCCATACCTGCCCATTCCCTGCATGGAGCCATGAGTGAGAGGCAGCCTTGCTTGATCCCACTGCAAGGGACTGATGCTCCCACCAGGATAGGTCAGGTGGGCACCTTTTGTCAAGGGAAGGAAGCACTGACAGTGAGTCCTTGTGTACGAGGCATCCATACCATGCTGACTGTTCAACGTGGTCCTCAGCCCTGCTACCCTCTTTTCACATGGCCAACGAATCAACTTTTACATGGAAGGAAAGGCGCTTTCCTGCTGCTGCCTAGGTGCTCCTCTTACTCCTGACTCCAAGAACACTGGGCAGGCTCTGTGTACCTACTGTTGGCCTCCACCCTGACTATTTACAAGTCCTTCCTGAAAAACCACTCTCAGTAGAGCTTCCTGCTGCCAACTTCCTTCTCCAGAACAATGAATGAGATGAGGGCCAAGGAGACTGATGTTTACAACTATGTAGGCTGAATCATAGATATGATCTCAACTGATATATGAACAATACAAGTTGGCCTCATTATTCCCATTTTTAGGTGAGAACAATTTATTGCCTAGTCTCTGTGGCTTGTTTGGACTTTTAATTTGGATTTGTCTGACTGTAGAAGCTACTCTATACCACCTCCTAGTGATGGGAGAGGAATCAACTCTATGTTGACCCTTATGGGATCGCTGAGCAGACTCACAGGGTCTGGGCTAGGGACAGGAGAGCCCTGAGTCTGAGCTCCCGATCCTGGTTCTGACATCTTGTCTGCCCCCTCCCTTCCCACTCATGGAATCCTAGTCCTCATCCTTCCCTTCCTGCTTGCAGACCTCAGGATCTGGGGATTCTACTGATATTTTGCGTGCTTGTGTTTGATTCAGTTCAGATTCAAACACAGCACCCTGTGATTCCCTCAGCCACTTATGGAGCATGGTCAGTGATGGAGAGAGAAGCAAGGTCAGGTCCTGCAAGGGAAAACACACAGTCTATGAAGGTCAGGATAGTGACCTCATGGTGACCTTCCCTAGCACCAGAGGGCCAAGCATTTGGAGTGTTTCCCTGTCTAGATGGCACCTGGGGGACAGGTTAGATGCTTAATTCCAAGAGGAAAGGAGGATTATATAGAAACATAAATCAGCAACATGGTGTCCGAGAACCAAGGATCATGAAAAGAGCAAGAGCAGTGAGAGAGAGTTATATACTCTAGTTATTATAAACTTACCCCTGTTGAATCTGGCTGGCCCTTACCTGCCCAGCACAGCTTCCACAAGCCTCCTGGGGTCCAGCTTCTCAGCCTCTGGGTCCTGGGATGCAGAGTATGGTGTGGCTTTGGCCTGGCCTCTAACAGCTGCTGGGACAGCTCAGGCAAGGCTGTGGATGAGCACTGGCTCTGCCCTGGTGAGGCGGCAGAGCATACCTTAAAATCTCACTCCAGTCCACTTGGGTTCAGTGAGACGGCACTGAAGAAGAGCTTTCTCTGGACTCAGAGTTCCCCATGCTCCCGGGGATGGGTGGAAAAGGAGACACAGCTCAAAGGGAGCAGAGCTGCAGCGCTGCTTCACACAACTGGGCAAACAGGTTCCTCAAGAAGGACGTGTGCCCAGACTTTCAGCGACAAGATGAAAAAGTAGTGCTCTGCTGTACAGCATGGCAAGTATGCTTAATGGTGCCATATACTTGAAATTTCCAAGAAAATGTAGTCTAAATGTTCTCACCACACACAAAAATGATAACTATGAGAAGTGATAGATGTGTAGAGCAATTTGATTGAGGCCATCATTTTCTAAAGCATATCAAACTATCACAATTTAAATATAAATTGTTTTATTTTATCTGTTCATCATACTTTAATAAAGCTGGGGAAAATAAACTGAAGTCTCACACACACACACACACACACAAACAGGAAGAGGTGCTGCTTGTTCATTGAAACACAGGAGCTTAGGAATTTGGAGTTTAGGAAGGAGGGAAGGACTGAGTTTTGCTTTGGCCACTGGCACCTATGTGATCCTGGAAAAATCTTTACGTCATTGTAAGCTGTGTTTCCTCATCTGTGGAGTGGGATGTTTGGAGTTGTTTCCAGTAAATTTCGAGCTGTAGAACATAATGGACTAAATTATCCAGAAGAGTCCCTCTACCATCTAGCTCCTAAGACTCATGCAGGAAGTGGGAAGCTAGTTGGAAGAGGAGCAAGGGCTCACTTCCATGAGCTTTAAAGTTGTGAACCCCTGGATCCACTCCAACTCCAGCACTCACCTAGGGCTTAGCTTCTCTGTATTGGGAACAGCGTGATCTACATGACAAAGCCATCTTGAGATGTAAAGTGCCTGTAGGAAAGGCACGTCACAGGGCTGGTTCCATCCACCCATCCATAGCAGCTCCTGCTACTTTTTCTCCTTGCTACTCTATGTGGGTGACTGAGCCATGCTCACCCTACAGCAGCAAAACCACTTGATCATGACAAATTCCAGAACCCAGAGAGACTCCAAATAGGGTTGAGAGGTGAGCTCAGGCCAAAGTGTATATCACCCAGCTTGTCACCAATGTTTTAGAAAACAGACACCTTGGCTCCTTCGGAAAAGCTCTGGAGACCTCTCCAAAGAGCACCTTGTTTTTACTGGGAAAGAAATAAAGAGCCTATAAGTTCTTCACACAAGGAGTTGGCCAAGAAGATCCAGAGGAACCCAAGATTTTGACTGGAGGCAGATCCTGATATCTGGAGCTTGTGGATCCACCCACCATTCCAATCCAACTGCATATCCTGCTGTTTCATAGATTTTAGGTCACATGACACTAACTATTACCTGTGTTTTCCCTAATATAACACCTCTCCATTGTGTTATCAATGCTTATCTATTTCCTTGCTAGCAGAGGAGTTATGGAAGTTGTCTTAGTTAGTTTTCTCTTGCTGGGACAAAATACCCAACACCCATAAGTTAAAGGAGGAAAGGTTTACTTAGCTCACAGTTTGTAGAGGTTTCAGTCCATAACTGACTGGCTCCAAGGCATGGTGGAATGGCAGAGGGACAATAGCTCATGGTGGTGGAAGACAGCAACAAGATCAAAAGGAAGAGAGAGACTCTTTCTATTCCGTATATTGTAGGCAGGCTACCTGCTTTAGGGCAACTGTAGCATTCACATCCCCAATCTCAGCCCTATGCAATGAACCAAGCACAAACTCTAGATTCAGTCACCTCCAAAAGGCCCACCCCCATGATCACATGATGTTTTAGGGGGACATCTAGACACAAACAATAACATTCTCCTCCTAGTCCCCCAAAGAATCATCCCTTTATGCAAATGGTATTTAGTCCATCTCTAATAGTTGCCAAAGTCTGAACAGTATCAGCATTGCTCAAAAGTCCAAGTCCCAAGTCTCCACAGAGATGTAAGGCAAACTCTTAGCTGTGAGCCCCTGAACAAATTAAAAGAAAGTTAAACACTTCCAAAATTCAATGACTCAAGATAGGTGTTTCCATTCCAAATGTTACCAATGGGAACATAAAGAAATAGAACCAAAGCAAGTCCAAAATCCAGCAGAAGAAACAGTAATTCCTATAGTTCCATGTGTAGCATCTGAGGCAACCTGCAGCAAATTGTGAGCTCCAAAGGGCTGGGGGGGCTCTACCCCTGTGACACTTCCAGTGGTTGTAGCTCTCATGGCTTCTCTCTTGGGTCTGCTCTGCTCTCTTCTCGAAGGTTTCCTTAGAAGATCCAGAGTTTGCTTCTCTAAACTTTTGGGGTCTCCACTGCACCCTTGCCTTCACACTCACAGCTTCACACACTGCCCTATCAGGGGCACACTGCCTGGCTTCCCAGGCCTTCTGAAATTGAGGTGGAAGCCTTCTTAACCACACAACTTTTGCATTCTGCATGTACCCAAACCTGTCCCGTGTGGATGATATTAAGGTATGCTGCCAGCAGGAGTAGTAGCTAGGCTTTTCTCTGTCTTGGTTGGAGGAGTTGAATGCCTGGATCACTGGGCACTCTGAACCCAATTCTGAGGAACAAATTCTCTATGCTGCCTCCATTCTGGGACATGCTATGGCTGCCATTCTTGAACATGGTGCTCTGCAGCTTTCTTCTCAAAGCAAAGTCTTTCACTTTTGCAATTTTGAGGACGCAAATGGTGGAGTCCTGCTATTTCTTGTGATGCCCTCATGCCATCTTTTCTATTGTCCTGTTCCTTCTCAGCAATCAAGATCTCCTTTGCTCTATCTTTGCAGTCTGCAGCTTTACTGGAGCTTCCTTCTGTCCTAACTCACAACATTTTAAATTATTCTGCTTGGCTCTTTGTTCTTCATTCTCAACATAGATCTGGGTAAAAGCCCCCAACAGCAGCCATGCCACAGATTCAACATTCAACTTCCTTGAAATTTCTTCTTCAAGATTAATTAGTCTGCTGCCCTTAATCTTGGTCTCAGGCAAAGTCTCTGGACATGAACAAATAAAGACAAACTGTCTTCAAAGCCATAACATATATTGTCTGGAGTCCAACAGCCAATACAATTCTTCATCACAACAGAAACCTTCTGAGCCTGGTCTTTACCAGAAGGATTTTTATCAGCCTTCTGGTCTTCTGAGCTCTGATCAGAATCTCACATACAGAACATGCTAAGACATTCCAGCTCTACTCTTTCAGGCAACATCTCCAAACTTTTCCAAACTCTTTCCACAAGCCATTCCCAAAGGCTCTTGAACTATATGGTCAGGTATAGTAACAGCAGTGATCCCACTCCTGGTATTAGTTTTGTTGTAGTCAGGGTTTATAAGGAAAAGAGTCAATACAGGACACATAATTTATAGGATTATTTTGTAATATTCACCCAAATAGTCAAATGCAAAAGCATACAGGAGATCTGTCCACATACCAGAGATGCAAAGAATCCAGCTGAAGATCTAGAGTCCATGGCAATGTCCTCCTTGAATCCAATTGGAAGCCAAGAGCCCAGAACAGTGTTTCATCCAAGTCTGTATCAAGTATCTGTACTGGGAAGGCCCAGAGTTCACTGGTGGAAGCTAGAAAGTCTGTGCCAGCAAGATGAAGGATCTGTGCCAGGAGGCTGTGGGATCTGCACTGGAGCCAGAAAGCAATGCTCAAGGTAAGAATCAGAGCTCCCTGAAAGAGAACTGCAGCCATCCTCAGGGACAGTGAGGGCTTAAGCTCCTCTGGTAATGAGAACAGCCAAGTTCCTATCAGGAAAGCTAGCATAACAAGCTTCTCCGGGAGAATCAACAGCATGTCATCTTCCCCTCTTGTTATATTTTTTTATGCTGTTGGCAACAATCCTCAGGTGGGCCTTCCACCCCAGAAAGACACTGATTCTGCTCAGCTATGTATTACAAATTGCCCATTAGTTAATCTACCATAAGAAACAAGGCTCAACCACGGCTCTTTCTATCCCTTATATCCTATCCAGGCTACTTAGGGTGGATAGAACTCACACCCTTAATCCTTGTGCCCTTGATTCTAGCATTGCATCATGAATCAAACCCAGTGTCACACACTCTAGATCCAGCCATCTCTAAAAAAACCCCACCTATGATTGTATGAGGCTTTGGAAGTAAAAGATCTTTTCTCCTTTAATATTGCTGTTCTACCATCTTGTATAGCCTTGTCTAACATGGTTGCCAAAACTCCAGTCACTGTGTCTAATTTCCAGTGAACACTTCCTGAAAACACACATAACATTTTCACTAACATCCTGCTGGTCAAGATTGAGTCATGTGGCAGAATCTAGCCATATAGAATGATGGTATTTAGATCTAAAATGTCCCCCAAACATCTTGTATTTGGATGTGGGGGATGGTTGGAAGAGGTAGGTGACTTGAACACGACTCGGTAGGGTGTGTTCTCAGCTCAGCTGTTCCTTTCTCTCTGTATCCCCTGAAAGTCAGGCAGTAAACGACTTTCTTCTACCCTGTGGTCTGCCATGCTGTTTCTGCCTTGAAGCCAGCAGACCATGGACTAAATCCACGGAAACACTAAGCCAAAATAAACTTCTCCTCCTTAAATTGTGGGCATTGTGTATTTTATTTCAGTGACAGCAAAGTGACTATGACAGATGGAAAATACTATCATCACTTTAGGTGGTCTGTGTCATATCAATAAATTTCAATTTTTAAAATTTTAAATTCATAGACAAAGAAGAAAGGATACTGAGGAGTATACTAGGAGTCCCAGCCATACCATATTTTGAACAGTGCACATTCTGTCATGGTCTTTATCCATGAGCCCTGTGTAGTCCCTGTTACACAGTAGAAGGGTCATTATCCTCACTGTCTACTTAAGGAAACCGAGGCTATGAGAAGTCAGCAAGCTTCTCAGGCTTCAAGGTGAGTTTATGGCAGGACTGAGACTAACCCCCAAGGCTCCCAGCTACAAAGTCAGTGTGCTTTCTCCTTCAGTGTACTGTGCCTGAGCTC